CCATAATATAAGGGATTTTGGGTGGATGTAATAGATGCTAGTACAATGAATCTAGCCAGATGATATGTTCAAATTCATTGTACTAGGATGTGTCACACGCATCCACCCAAAATCCTTTATATTGTGGGACGGAGGGAGTGTATATATATCTCTTCTCTAATATTATAAAAATTAAAGATATTTTTGCTAGTAGTTTGGTACATCATCTATGTTTGAATCGGCTTTAATTTTATGTTTTGTTTTCAATCTCTATCTCTACGTTACTTAAGAAGAACAATAAATTTTCTTCGTCTGTAAAAAAAGGAAAAAAGGTCCGACTAAAAAAAGTAACAAAAAAAGAAAAAGTCCGTTTGGTTTTTTTGGCACCAGTTTTTTTCCCGACTTTTTTTTAGCACACGAAAGAGTTTATTTTTTTTTGCCCACGCCCTAACTCTTATGGTTTTTTTTGTCTGTTTTTTTATTCTGATCTGTTCAACGCGTGCCTCTTGGGCGCTTTTGATTTTTTCATCAATTTTTTGTCGCTATTTTTTCTCCCGTGCGCTTTTTTTACTCATCCGGTTTTTTAATCCGATATGTTCGCCGCACGCCTCCTGCCGCCGCCATATCGATTTCGATCTCCTCCAATTTGATTGCAAAAATCGATTCCTCACCCCCTCCCCCTCATCATTTTCTCCATGATTTTTACTTTCGACTCGGCTTTAATTTGCTGGATTTAATCTCCGTTTAACAGTTACCAATGATGACGTTGATCTTTCCCAGTCGTTTTTATCACGAGTTTTACGCTCTGATTTTGGAAAAAAAAAGGGGAAAGAGTAGATCGAGTGGTTCAAAAATCATCAACAAATTTTGGGTGACAGAACCGTATGGTTCTATCTTCAGGAGATTTTGGGTGACAGTCAACCGTATGGGACTATCTTCGGGAGGTTGAAGATGGTAGTGGACGGTGCGAGTTGGGTTTACGGTTCCACTACTCCCTGGTTGAAGGGAAGCAGGCCAAACAGAGGGAGATAGTAGATTTGCCTAGGGCTAAAAAGGAAGGAAAGCTTTCGGCCCAAAACCCAGAAAAGATTTTCACTAATTATAATCTATATATAGCGATTCTAATGTTAGAATTTTCATTAACCTTTTCAATTATAATGTATAGTGATCCTAATATTTTAATTTATTGCTAAGCTCTTGTTTACCCGTTGCAACGCATGGGTATTTTTTCTAGTTTATATAAAAATGAGAGATAGAGAGGGAAAAAAAGAAATATTACTGGTAGCGTGAATAAAATGAAGCCATTTTCATTAATTGAATGGGTGGGTAAAGTGAGGAAACGGCAAGCAAAAGGAATGCATATATAGAGAGAGGCAGGAGAGATGGATACATCGGAACATACGTACGTAATTAAATATATAATAAAACGACGAAGAAATTAATTAGTATGAAAATATATAGATAAGGATCGAATAATTAATGATGGATCGAGCTAGCTGAGCTCGCAGCTTAGCATGTTTTTTTTATTTGTCATGTCGATGGAATGGTCGTTCTGCTCCACGCAGGGTCTCTCAGGCGTGTCCGGGGCGTCGTCGTCGTCGCCGACGAAGATGGGCTCGCAGCAGTAGACGACGGTGCGGGCGGTGCTGTTGTAGCCGGAGTAGATCTCGGTCATGAGCGTGCCGTTAAGCCGGAGCACGGCGTCGCGCATGGTGTTGCCCTTGTACAAGTCCATGAAGTAGGGCCTGAGATCCTTGGAGCTCATCGTCCCGTCCCCGTTGGCACCGATGCCGGACATCACGAAGGACTGCGAGACGGCCGTCAGCCGCGGTATCACGGCCATGTCCAAGAGGCCCGTTTTGACGAAGTATGTCGGCGACGCCGGCGACGACGCGCTCCTGCCGGCCAATAACGCCTTGATGTTGGTGTAGTATATTTGGCCGAAGCCGCCGGTGTTGGCGGCCCTGACGGTGAAGGCGAAGGTGAGGTTCCCGGACATGTTCGACGGCCGCTGCACCTTCACCGTATGACCGGTCACACTCACCACCAGCGGCCTCTCTCGCCCGACCATCTTGATGGCGTACGCTATCATCACCACGATCGCCACGATCACCGCCACCGCAACTACGTACCTCGCCGCCTTGATCCACCGGAAAAATGTACTACTACTCCAGCTCGATGAAGATTTCGCTCCGCCGCCTGCCGATGCCGTGCTCATGCCTAAATATATATGGATATCTACGGAACCCAAGCTAGCTTCACTATCACTAGCTACGTACTACTTCTTCAGTTCAGCTAGCTTCTATCTATGGAACCCAAGCTAGCTTTCTGTTAATATATATAGCATCTGATTCCAGCTATGGATGCATGGGAAAGAAGCTACTTGCTCCGTCCCTAAATGTTGATATATACTATTCTGTCCCCCCAAAAAAAAATATTGATAGATATTATTCTGTCCAAAAAAAAGATAAACTCTAACTATGAACGGAGGGTAGGATGCATGGGACACATATTAGGATGGAGGTAGTATTAGGTTTAGTCTCACAATTGTAATTAATAATAAACAAGTACAACTTAAAACATAGTTTGGTCCTTACCATTAGGCTAGTTTATTGGGTTGTACAAACAGGAAAGTGATTTTATCTCTCAAGGGGATATCCTCTCGTTTCATACATGCCATCTAAATAGTAATAAATTTTTTTAAAAAAATTGGCAAGATAGATTAATTAATATGAAATGTATCATCTCCACAAACATACAAGTTAAAATTCAACTTATACAAGTTATAACAAAAATAATAAATATAAATGGGATTGTACCATAACTATTTTCAGTTTAATTTGTTCTTTTTGTTGCAACTTGTAGAAGTTGAATTTGGTCTTGCATGTTTATGGAGTGATATATTTCATATTAATCTATATATGTTGTCAATTTTTTTAAACATTTTTATAACTATTTAGATGACATACAAATAACGAGGGGATATTCACTTGAGGGATGAAAATCCATATCCTGTACAAACCCATAGACCTTTATATTTTTGGTTTCGGTTATATCTAGGGATCCGAATAACATTATGGTTGATTGGTTATGAATCACATTATGGGTGTGCATGAGACACACATCACGCCAGCTCATATTGTGTGTGTGTGTGTGTCTCTCTCTCTCTCTCTATATATATATATATATATATATATATATATTGATATATTGCGGCAAAGTTTTTCAATTTCTTTATGACTTTTTAAGGTGTCATGAAAAAACAAGGGGGCGTCATCTTAAGGGATAAATAGACTTTTTAATTAGATATACATGCCATAAAAAGATAATACATTTTTAATTATAGTTTTATAAATATGTGTTAGAGGTTGTATTCGTTTGTGTGAGTGTAATGGTGTTTGCGCATGCATATGTAGTGTAATTATATAAAAAAAGGCAATGTAAAACATGCAAGGCGCCTACAAATCGGGTGCTCGATCTTTTTTTAAAATAAATTGAGCGCTGTTCCACCAAGTAGATCGGAATTATTTCACTAATTAGATCAAAAATGTTTCAAACACAACCGAATCACCTCATGAAATATTTTGATATAACGTATGAAACAACGGTTTTGAAGCTGTTTCACCATATATAGAAACAATGTTTCAAATAGCAAAATGATGTTTCAATTCACTGGAACATTTAATCTATACATAGTGAAACAACACGAGTATACTTGCTGAAACATTGTTGGTGGAACAAAAAATGAAACGGATTCCCTTAATAGAACGTTTTCGTAATTTGCGGGTGATTTGTTGCAACGGCGCATGTGGTGGGGTGCGTGGTGGGGATGGCGTGGGAGGTGCGGGCGCCCGATGCATACGTGCCCGCATCGGGCGCTCGATTTGAAGAACTTTCGTAAAACATGTGTACGATCGATGTTATAGATGTGACTAAGTAAAAAAAAAAAGAAGATAATGGATTGAGTATCCCTGGAGCATTTTTTTTTTCACAAAAGCAGCATAGCAAAGCAAAAGTTCCATGGTCCGTTTACTCTTTATTCTGATTGTTCAACTTTTGTAATAAAAGACTTTATTCCGATTCGGGTACTCAATGCAATGGCCAACACATAATTTGACAGTTGAAGTTGAAGGTTGTCGGTCTAGAGTAAAATAGGATGCTATTCCCTTCCTTCATAAATATAGGAACTAATGCTACTCGAGATTCGCTTTGGTTTGGTCGACCGATCTGATCGAGCGCTCCAACCCTATAACCAACAACCTACTTGTGTCTTGCTATCTCTTCATTATACAGTCCTATACACCGTTATATTCGATCTACGTTGTATTTAAATCTTTACAACAAGATATCACACCGTTATATTCTACGTTGTATTTAAATCTTTACAACAAGATATCACATGACTATATTCCGATAAAAAAAGCATATGTTTCAATCTATTAACCCTCGATGTTTCATACGTAATAGCGATATGATTCAACGTTTGTCTTTACCGTGTTTCACAGAAAAATATTTTAGTGGCTAATTTTTTTATTTCATCATGTATAACTTATATTAATGTTTCACCGGTGGTTAACTGAAACATTTGACCGGGTCCGATTTTTTTTTAGAGATGATTAGGCATCCAATTTGGAGTTTCCTCAACATCACCTAATATTATATGGTATGTCCAGATTCGTAGTATTTTGTTAGTATTTTCTCTCTCTATATATATGCGTTGATATAGAGAAGTACATACTATATACTCCCCCTCATTCCATAATAAGCACAGTTGTGGGTTTCAGTGTCCAATTTTAACCATCCGTCTTATTTAAAATATTTTTATGATTAGTATTTTTATTATTATTAGATGATAAAATATGAATAATACTTTATGCGTGACTTAACTTTTAAATTTTTTTTCATATTTTTTTTAAATAAGATGAACGGTCAAACGTTGGGCATGAAAACTTATGGCTGCACATATAATGGGACGGATGGAGTATATATGTAGTCGTCTGTAAATTAATTAATTAAGCTCGATCGATCAATACATGCATACGTTTATATATAGTAGTAGTGTAGTAGCTACTGATGAGTCCCGTTTCATTTGAGCTAGTAGCTAGCTAGCTTATACACACACACACAGAGTATAGTGATCATAGCTAGCTAGCTAGGCATGGGTGATCATCATGATGAGGAGGAGAAGGGAAAAGACAATAAAGCAGCAGCATCATCATCTTGGCAAGCCCGGCGCCATTTGATCGTGCTGGCAGCTCTGGGGGGAACCGTGGCCGCGACCGCCGTGGTGATAACCGTGTCCGTCATCCTCCGGCCGGTGCACGTCGAGTTCGCGGTGGCGAGAGCGACGCAGCAGAAGATCGCCATCGGCAGCAACGACACGGGCATCTACCTGAACCTGACCGTCACCGCCAGGAGCACCACCAGCCGCGCCATGGTGCAGTACCGGAAGGTGTTCGTGGACCTGGTGGCGAAGACGATACAGAAAGACAAGATGCAGCTGCAGATGTACCGCGCCCCGCTCCAGACGCCGCTGCCCGGCAACGGCACGTCGTACGTGCCGGCCGCCGCCGCGACGCAGCGGGCGAGCATCAAGGCGTCGCTGCTCCTGGTGGGGGACAGCCTCAACACAAAGTCGAACCTCCTCGCCTCCCAGCTCATCAGCACAACACCTTCCATCAACGTTGTCGTCACCGCGCAGGTGTCCTTCAAAATCGGCGTCGTCTACAGCAGGGTGTACGACATCGCCGTGCGCTGCCCTCGCGTCGTCTTCCTCCCCGTCAACCAGCCGCCGCCTCATCCACCGCCCATCTGCACCGGCTGACGTACTAGGACATGATGGGGAAAAAAACGCCAATTTATATATTCTTCTTCGCAGCCAAAAAGTTTCATGAATGTTTTGTTTTCTTAAATAAAATAAATCATACCGTTGATTTATTATTATTATTATTATTATTATTATTATTATTATTATTATTATTATTATTATTATTATTATTATTATTATGTCTGATCATTCGTCTTACTAAAAAGTTATATTATACGAACTTTTCTATTTAATCTTGTCGTGACTTGTAGTATACTTTTGAATATTTTTACAACAGGGCTGCCAGATGCATGCACTACATGTTTTATTACCTATGCAATCTTGCCTCAAATCATGTACAACTGGTTTAATTGGCAATGTATCTCGTAATAATTAATCTCCTTCCACATATATTATATCGTGTAAATATAATATAGCTATTGAGTTAATGAGTTACATGATCTGGCAGTTAATCTCAGCTTGTGCATTGGCATTTGCTATGTAAGTATGTGGAATAATATATACTACGTATAGGGGGTGGGCAGGAATTAGACTGAACCGAAAAGACCGAGACCGAATTTATTTCGAGTAGCTATTCGGTCCCAGCTAGCAAAAGACCGAATTTATTTCGAGTATTTCGGTTATTGGGCTCCGTTAACCGAAATACCCGAGATGACCGAACTGGCCCAATAGGCCTAGAGGCCCAATAAGCCCAGTAAAAAAAACCCTAGAATCCCTACCACTGCTCCCTCAGGCCCCGCACTCCCTTCTCACAGTCACCGCGCTCGCCGCCTCTGCCCGCCGCCTCGGCGCCTCCTGCCTCGACCGCACCGGCGCCGCCTACTGCCTTCACCACGTTGGCGCCTCCTCCGCCTTCTCCGCCTCCGCCCTCCGCCTTGGCGACTCCTCCTGCCTCGTCCGCGCCGGCGCCGCCTCCTGCCTCCACCGCGCCGGACCGCCGGCGCCGCCCCCGGTGCCGCCTCCGCCCGCCCTCCACCTCCTGCCTCAACCGCGCCGGCGCCGCCTCCAGCACCGCGCCAGGCGCCGGCGCCGCCTCCTTCTCCGCCCGCCCTCCGCCTCCTCCCTCCGCATCTAGCTGGTTGGCTACATCCCGGAGGCTGAAGCTGAAGTGGTTGTGCGCCAGATGTGTTCGATTTGCCGATTTCTTTTCTAAATCGTGTTCGATTTGCTTCTTTTTTATCCAAATAGTGCTCGATTTGCTGGTGACATCAATTTGTAGTGTGTTATGTATGACCTAATTGCTTGATTCATCGATCTTGTACCATTTTTTTTGCTGTTAAACTTTTGTCACGGTTAGTTCGGTCTATGACCGCGAGACTGAACCAAACTAACCGAAGACCGATTTTCTCAGTCTTGAGTTTTGTTGGAGACCAATCGATCTTGAGATTCTGAAGACCGAATTTTTAAAAAGACCAAAAAACCGAACCGAATTTCTCAGTCTAACCGAATGCCCACCCCTAAGTCTACATACCTACAGCTGATTCAATTATTAGCTAGATAATTAAACTTGGCGTGTTGGTTGCCGCCGCACCCAAAGCCGGGTTGTAACCGCGGACACGCGCGGTGAGCACGATGGACGGATGAACAGTACAGCATGTTCGTTTAATTGGCCAGGAGCAAGGAGTCCAGCGGATGGGTATCCACAAATGCTTGCGGTCGGAGGAGATGGAACGACGGCTTTAATCTATACATTAACTTATTAAAGGAATAAAAAATAAGCCTCCACGTTAGATCTCATAGCATAGAAAAAGAAAAAAAAAGAGTAAATATAATTTTAAAATAGCTGAAATTCGAAATTAAAAATAAAAAAATATAGGAAGAGAAGCTAGACAAGAGTCCATACCGGTATACAATAGAACTAATGAAAATTCAGAATTAAAAAAAATAAGAAAATTAAAAGTAGAGGTTAAAGTCGATATAGAAATTCAATTTAGAAATAACGAAAATTCGAAATTAAAAAAAATAAGGAATATTAGAAGAAGAATATAGAGTGCATATAGAAATGCAATTTAACAATAACTGAAATTCGTAATTAAAAAAATATTGAAACATAAGTTTAGAGTTCATATAGAAATACAATTTAGAAATAATAGAAATTAGAAATTAAAATAAGGAATATAGATCTCAGCAATAGCGCAGAAATATCCGTTGTATCTCTATCCAATGTGAGAGTGAAGGAGAGCGTGGGTATTTCTTAACGACATTACTATGAATATAATTCCCAGCAATAGCGTAGAAATATCCGTAGTATATTATGGTTACAGATTATATCCACAAGCGTACGGATATACCATTGTAACAACTATGCAGACTATTCCAAGGTATCGTATTTGTTTAATCCCGATGGAAGATTTATAAGAGAAAACCATGCTAATAATTTATATGTTACTTTTATAAATCAGAGTCTAAACAAGGGTTAGTTAATTCAGGGGTAGAGTGACACGAAGCAGAAGAACTAAAATACTCTCACTAATACTAACACTAAACTAAGTGGAGAAAGAATAAGAAAAGAATCCATTCCTATACTTCTAGTATACCAACATCATTAGTCTATACTTTCTAGTATTAAAACTATGCAACCAATACCCCTTTACAATGCCCTCCTGGTGTTTCGAGACACTACCCTTGACTGCGAGTTTCTTATGATAATTCGTCATAGTGTAGCGCCCGTTCCGTCGTGGCGTCTAGTGGGAAAACTATCTCTTAAAAATCCTAAATGCGAAAATTGTTTCTTTGTATGTTGTCTAGTGTCCGTGCCATTCCAGATCTCAATTCCCCGATCCATCGTCAAATCCAAACCCTAATCTCAAATCCCTCCCAAATCAAATCTTCTCGAAAAAGTCTATTTTGCCTCCCTCGAGTTCGTGGGCCGATCTCCTCTCCCCCGGCCCATTCCCTCTCAGCCCATCTCTCCCCCTTCCTCCATCCTTGCCCGCACGTGCGAGGCACGTGCGCCACTCGAGCGCTGAGCGCTCTCTCTCTCTCTCCCTCTCCCTCTCTCTTCTCCCTCCCTCTCTGCTCTCGCTGTCGCTTCCCGCCGACGCCGCTCAAATCACCACACCGCCCGTTGCTTCCCGCGCGCGCGCGCCGTGGTGGCCGACCGGCCGGTCGCCGCCGCCGTCAGCGCCTGCCGCGCCTGAGCCCGCGTCTGCCGCCCTTGTCGCCGCTCCACTCCAAACCGCCCCGCCGTCATCGTCGTCGTCACGACCCGGCCCTGCCACTACCGCGCGCATGCTTCCAAGAGATGGAGGCAGAGCTCCTCCTCCCTCTGCCGCGCCGCCCTCTCTCCCTCTTTCTTTTCCCAAAGTGGCAAGAGGCAAGCCTCCTTTCCCTCCTTCTTTCCTTCTTTTTCTCCCTCGCCGGCGTCATGCCCTCTGCCGCCATTTTGGCCGCGAGCGTCGGAGCGCCAGCTCGCTCTTTGACCACCCAAGGTCGGTTTCCGAACCGACATTGCCACCCTATAAACCCAAGCCCCTCCCCAAACCAATCTCTCTCCTTTTCGTCTCTCGCCATTGCCGCCTCGCCCGTGTCTGTTCGCCGCCGCCTTTCGTTGCCACGCGTGCCGGAGGAGCCAGCGCGTCCGTGGACGCGGAAGGGGACTCAGGGCGCTCGTCTTCATCCTCTTCCCTGGCCCGAGGCCGGAGAGATCACTAACGTGCCGTCGGCCTCTCGTCACAGCGCCCTGTCCTGTCTCGGTAGAGCTCTCCTCCGTTCTCCCTCTTCGCTCCTCCTCCTCCCCTTAGATTACGTGGTAGCACTCGTAGTACCCCTAGAAGCTCGCGGGCGCCGCCCAAGCCCTTCCCACCGCCCGGCGTGGCATCACCACCGTTGCCGCTCGCCGCCGCAAGCCGCCGCTCGTCGCCAGCTTCTCTCGGTGTAGCTCCGCCCAATCCGGTGCTAGGAATGCAATCCCGAGGTCGTGTAGATGCTCTTGCTCTGAGGAATCGGTCCCTCGTGGTCCCGTCGCCTTTCCCCTCTTTTGCCGTCGCCGGCGTGCGCTGCCGCGATTCCTCGCCGTCGAGCCATTTCCGGTGCATCCGAGCTGAAGGCTTGATCCCTCTCGTTCTTATCATCACACCGGTGCGTCTCCCTTTGGCCGAAGATGTCCCAACGAGCTCCAGTGAGCGCCGCCGTCGTCCGCCGTCCGTTCCGGCCAGCCTCCCTTCGTCCTCCTCCAGCCGGCCCACGTGGCAGCCACGAAGGCGCCACATTGGTGCCAGCTCGGCCTCGGACCGAGTCGGGCTGACCTCGGTTAGCCGCCTCCCTCCGTTGCCCCGCTCGTGCGCGCAACCCACGGAGAGCCAAGAGGCTGCGCGTGGGCCCGCCGCACCTCCGTCCTCCGCGAACCCTGCGTGCGCCACACCTCCCCCTCCTGAAACCTTAGCACCGCGCCACGTGAACCCCCTCCCTCGTGCACCGAGTCCCTGACTCGTGGGCCCGCCCCGGACCCCGCACGATGGACCGCGTCCATCTCGAACCTCTCTCTCCCCTCACCCTCCCCGCGAGCCCCCTTGGGCCGCCTCTCAAGGCCGGCCGGCCCAATAGCATGGCCGAGCCACGCCAACCCCTCTCGGGCCGCGCTCAAGCCGCCCGCGAAGTCTAAATCCCCTCCCTCTTTAGTTTCTAATTCAAAAAGTATTTTAATAAATCCTTTTCCTTTATTTCAATAAATCCTTCAATCTTAGAAATTCCATATCTTCCCAACCGTACATCCGTTTGACTCCGTTCAACTTCCAAAATTTCTCAAATCCCGAGTTCTATCTAATGGCACACTTAGAGGTCAATAATAGGGCCTTATTTTCACCGTTTGTTGAGTCGTCTCGTTCGCGTATAGCTTCGGAGCCCGAAGACCCGCAGTGCGAGGATTTCGATGATCAAGCTCAAGATCTCGAGCAAGGCAAGTCACCTTTGATCATCTTGCACCTATAATTTAAATCTAAGTATTTCTTTTCCGCAAATATTGCATGATTAGGATTAACACGAGTAATTCGGCTACGGCTTGCAAGGTAGCCTGCCCCCCCCAATCCTAATTGTTGCAATCACCCTCCTTAATGATCGAATACTTAAAACTCCTTTGTCAAATGTGGTACTTCGATGTACGGGCCTTCGGGCATGCACATCGGAGGCCTCCCCTCAAATTTAAAATATCCAACGATGGGTAAAACTTGGGTTTTACAAAAGACTTGGAAAACCCGACGCCTGGGTCGGTGCTTGCGAACTAAATGAATTTCCAAAATCGCAGACCGAGGGACATGCCAGGAGCACGGTTTCCCGCTCTTGCACTTAAGGACCGTTTCCTTTGGAATTTCATCCGAACATATAACAAGTACGACCATGGGTGGAATGGGACACCCCTGGCTGAGTAATTAGCTAATCAGGGGAGCCTTGATGTCGAGAGACATGTGGATTTGCTGGGGTGGTGTCGGGGAGGAC